TCGTGCATGTATCTAGTGTGGCATTAAATAAAAAGAGAAATCTTTTTTTTGCATTTAAGCATCTGCAAGAGTCAAGAAGTTCATGGTTATCTACTAATCAGTCTAGGCTTGTGTCGGATGCTTCTCTTGGAGCCATCTACTTTTTGGGTCCAGAACTCAGTTATCTCGTCCCAGCACAACACAGGGTCCTGATTAGATGCATAGATACTCCCTAAAGTTAATTATCAGAAGGACCCTTAAAAAGCGTAGCATTGCCTTCCCTATCTGTCTGCTTTTCCTTTCACTGAAAAGGTGGACGTCTTGCTATGATAAGTGCAGCTCCTCTTTGATTTGACTTACCTGGAGATCTATATGGGGATGCAGAACCGCTTGCCTTTTATGTAACTCCTGCGTTCCTCTTCACTGGGGGTTTCTTGGATGAGGTGAACATGGTGCCTCATCTTTGGCTGGTAGCACCTTCCTCCCACTGAGACCCTAGCAGTGAAAGTGTAAAATCTGAGCTTATTTCCTTGCTACCTGTTACATTAGTTTTTATTTTAGTATTTAGCTGGTTAAGCAGCACCTTTTATTTGTATCTGTATTTCAATTTTGTCTGTAAGATCCAACTTTCTTTCTAAGGAGTTTTTTGGTTGAAATTTTTTAAACCCCTTTCCATCTTACCCACCGTAACTCCACCCCACAAAAACCAAATCAAACGCCTTTAAACACAAACTGCAAAAATACGGCAAATGTTTTGTCTTGGCCCTGCCTCTCTGTACCCCCCAAAAGTCCCTGCTAATGCACCCTTCTCCCATTCCCCAGCCCTGAAATGTGAAGCTCAGGGTTGAACGGCCTTTCCAATGTGATGATTTATGTCTTGGCGATTCCTTGACTGTCCCTTTGGGTGAAGTCCTGGCATTATTTGATGGCCTCGTTCTATGGGGAAAGAGGGAGGCATATAGCAAGTCCCTCTTTCCCCATCTCAAATTGCATTTAGATCTCTCTCCCTCCCCTTTTCCAAGATTTGGCCTTCAACATTTCAAACCTTGCGCATCTTTCTCTTCCCAAATTACTACACGTCCTGTTCAAAACGTAATCAAACCATGCAGGATTTACTTTTATTTAGAAAATCCAGTCATATGATTCGCCTTCACACAGGTCTGCTTGCAAATCGGTAGCTTTAAGGCTCTTTGTTCCAGACTGTCTGCCTTTATTCTTTAAGGTTTTCTTTCCTTTGTAGTTAACAGTTTGCCATTGTCTTGCGCCTCGACATCTGTGTCTGAAACCGCTTGCGCATCAGAGTTGTCTTCTAGATGTTTTAATCTGAGGACTCGGACTCTTCCTGCCTTCTTCTTTATGGTGTACTGTTGTCCAAGATAAGCTCAAGGGGGGAGACCCATCTGTATTTTATTTTTCCATCTCTCAACAAGGCATACTCTGCTTCAGTTCTTTTCATTAAAGTGTGGTATGAGGCATCTTGAAAAATGTGTACATTTTTTGTCCACTAAACTTCATTGCAAACAGCCCTCTAAATCTTCTCATCATCTATTCTTCTTGTTCAAAGTCGTGCGTTCTCAGAATGACATCTTTACGTCTATTTGTATTGGGGGGGGCATAGATAGATCCATCTACTCCATCTATGGCTATTAAATGTGTTTTGATTCCTGTTCTAAAAAGGTTTGCAGTCCTTCTTTTAAAAGTTTAGTCAGATCACCCTTCTCCAGCCCTTCAGGAAGACCTCTAATTGTCATATTGTTTCCCAATTTTCAATGTCTTTTTTTTCTGCGAGTTCTTTTTCTTTTCTATCAGATTAACATGTTTTTTCCAGTTCTGTATTGGCTGGATCCACATTCTTCTCAACATCTGTAACTCTCTGCCCACTTTCTGCCACCTCCACTCTTACTTTATCAGACTGTATTTCTACAAAGGATTTGGGAGACCTGAATTGGGATCCTCAACACACCTGAGTTATCCGTGGTAACAAGAGCTGCTGATGGCAAGTGAGAGAGGAACAGTGGGGAAAAAGCCCTGCTCAGCCCCAGTGCAATCTGCCTTTCAGCCTCCGCTCTCTGCCGCCGTGTGACACAGGAGACCGGGCAAGATGGACCTAGGGTCTGACCTAATCCATGGCAGTTTTTATGTTGGCTTTCTGCTTTGCCTGCTTTGATTTCAGCTGCACCTTTGATTCCCCAGACTGTAGTTGCTACTCCCAGTTTGTTCTTGTGCGTCCTTTTGCAAGGGAACTAGCTTGTAATATCAATCCCTTCATGCATGGCTGTGTAGCATGGGGGTTAGTCCAGGCTCTGTTATGCTTGCTCTTCTGGACAAACCTGACATGAAAACTCAGGTCTGGAGGAATACTGGACCGGCAACAAAACGGGCAAATCCCACACGCCGTAGCCCAACGCAGTGGGGACAAACTCCCAGGGAGTTTGACCTTCCTTAAAGGGGAGACTGCTGGGAGCAATGGGGCAGCTCCTTTCCCCTGGAAAGGGGGAAAGCCAGAAGTTGGCATGGAAGTGTGGATGAGCCACCGGTGAGGGATACGGAGGACTCCAACTACCAGAGTGGAAAGAGACGTCTCCTGCTCAGTCAAACCATGACAAGCCAGTAGCAACAACCCTAAAGAGGGCATGAGATACTGGCTGTCCTTAATGGAGTGCTGGCAGGTCCTGGGAAAAATGGGAAATGAGAGAGACTGAATTGGTAAAGACCCGATACCTAGCCTGAGGATAATGAAGCCAGAGATTGAGACTAATTGACGCCTGAAGGTTGGTTTAGTGTGGGGTCAGAGTCCCAACTGGGTCAAGAGAAGCCTGAGTCTTGATGGACCACGGGACAAAACGAGGAGAGGGAATTAACACAACAGAGCCGGGCCTGTGCAGAGAAGGACTCTGAGCTTTAGTGAGCACGGAGCAAAAAACCAGTAGAGGAATGGGCTGAATCATGTGTGGACTGTTCGGCACGAGTTCCAGTAATTAACCGAGAGACTAGATAAAGGGCCAGTTGGTTGCCCAAGGCAAGGTCTGCTCTAGGTGAAACCTGAGAAGCTGGACAGACAGCAGGCAGGCAGTTAAGTAGCTGAGGAGTGGTCGGAGATGTAGGAGGACCTGATACTGACTGACACTGAGTTGGGGGTGGGAGGAAGGTCCAGCAAGAAGAAGATTGGTCACCTTATTTACTAATTTAAGTTAAATTGGACTAATGACTTCATCAACACGGATCTGACTGGAAACAGATCCTGTGAAGGGCCCAGAGATTGGATTGAGGAAGGAGTTGCAGACATAAGACTTCGTGGTTGAACTGTGGTCCGTAAGTACATCAACTGGGTGAGAGACAGACCAGGGTGTAAAGGAAGAGGAGCCCAGAAAGGGGTCCACTACAAGAACTGACAGTGAGAGGACTCACTAACTGGGCTGACATTCCTCCTGCTTGCGATTATAACGTCAAGGCATGACAGGCAACAAAATCAGCGGACAATGGAAAGGAAAGCCAGCGTGGCTTTGTTGTGGGCAGGTCTTGCCTTACAAACCTCATCTCCTTCTATGACCAGGTAACTCGCCACCTGGACACGAGAGAGCAGGTTGACATTGTGTACCTTGACTTCCAAAAGGCCTTTGATCTAGTATCCCACAATATCCTTGCGAGGAAATTGGAGGATTGTGGGCTTAACTCCAACTTCTCTCCCAGGTGGGTGAGAAACTGGCTGCAGGATAGGACCTAGAGAGTCATAGTGAACGGATCTGTGTCATCCTGGTGAGAAGTGGGCAGCGGTGTCCCGCAGGGGTCGGTGCTCGGTCCAGTGCTTCTCAACTTCTTTATTAACGATTTGGATGTGGGGGTGAAGAGCTCACTGGCCAAGTTTGCGTACGACACCAAGTTATGGGGGAGCGTGGTCAAGCTTCAAGATAGGCTACAGATACAGGCGGACCTAGACAGGCTGGCAAGTTGGGCGGATCGGGACCTGATGAAGTTCAACGTTGAGAAATGTAAAGTGCTTCACCTTGGGATGAGCAAGCCCCAACACACCTACAGGCTTGGTGGCACCAAACTGGCCAGCACCACGAATGAAAGGGACCTGGGGGTAATAACACACCATGGTATGAACATGAGCCGGCAGTGCGACGCTGTAGTCAGCAGGGCAAACAATACTCTGGCATGCATCAATCGATGCATCTCCAGCAAAACCAAGGAGGTGATTTTTCCACTTTACTCAGCACTGAGATCAGATCTGCCCTTCTGCCTTTGGCCTATTTGGAAGACTTGAAGTTACAGCATAAATCCATCATGCAAGACAAAGTCCTAGGCAGCTCGGACAAGAAGTAGGACGGGGCGGAGGTGAGGTTAATGACATTTCTCCAGCCAGAAGGAGAAGGCAGTTGCCTGCCTGCCCTCTAGATTCACTTCCAAACACAACAGCCTTTGACTCTTCACCGTTTTACCCTATTTCCTGTACAGCTGGACCCAAAAGAAAAGATAACACCCCTCACAAAAGCTTCCTGAAGTAGCTCTTTAGAAGAACCAATTCCAGATGCCGTGAATAGGAGCACAGGGACATTTAGGCCATGCTTCCAGGCACATCCACAAATGCTCCTTACAAAACTTGGATGGGAATTTGCTTGCAAAGGCAAAACTCTGCGATTCCAAGTCCCTGCAGGCCTAACCACCTGATTTGCAGCTGCCTGCCAAAAAATGTGGGAGGAAATGGGATGACCCCAAGGGCTGCCTCTGTGTGTGATAGGAACAGAGGAACTGAAAGGCCCTCTCCCAGCCAGGAATAATTTCCTTTGTTAGCTTCCTATTGTTTACAGCTGCTATTTGGGCACCGTTAACTGTCTCTATTTCTATAATCCTAGAAATCAAAATAGTTCTCAACTGGCGCACAATGGGTTTAAAAGGGAATAGTACGCTGTGGTCACCTACCATAGCAGGCGACTGGATTTGATGGCTTTAGAGGTCCTTTCCAAGATCTGTCCAATATTTTGCTGACCTCCTCCTCTCCTCTCTCTTTTGCCATGCAGAGCTGCAAATGCACCTTGGCACGAGGCCATGACTTTATGGGATGGAAACTGGAGGAGATCTTCCCTATGGCCTGTTACGACAACCAGTAGGTTTTGCAAAGTCTGCAAGTATCTTACAAGTTTTTACTGGGTTTTTTGCTGAGTACAGGATGGTCTTATCTTGGTGGACATGGCTAGTGTACTCAATGCCAACACTTTTCCTACATGAGCCACTGTGATAAAAGATTTAAAAACGTTCATTTTTTTACCAGAAATTCTTTGTTTGTTGGTCTTATGCAGAAGGCAGGAGCACTTCTACTAATAGGTGGCATCAGCATTCAGGTCAGTTGTGGCTTGTATTGTTGATTTCTTTTTTCCCCCATACTAAGGCTTTCTGGATGCAGATTATCTCCATCAGAGGCATGGACAATATCAGAAATTGAAAAAGGCCTGAAGCTTTCCAGATTCTCTTCCTGCCATTGGAAGAAGACGTTTGCTCCACACAATCTAGTTCTAAGTATTTCAGGTCCTGGATCTTCCACTGTTTCCTTGGGGAAGCACATCAGATAGCTCTCATCTCTACTGAGGTCCAAAGGAAGTTTTCTTGCCTTTTCCCATAATGTTATTCTCTGGTGACTCCAGCAAGATTCAGAGAAGAATTTGCTCAGGAGGGGAAAGCTCCGGGTTTGAAAGAATTAGCTGTGGGCATTAAAGTTAGATCAGTCTCTGGCTGCATTGGGATTCAGTCTATTCTCCTCTCATGCCCTCCTCCCATTTTTTGCCCTAGTTATAATATTTCTTTTTTTTCCTCCTCTTTTCCTCCCTAGGTTCAGCGGTACATGGGGAGGGAGCATGACTTCCACTTCCAGACCCAGCTCATCCTCAGGAGGTTACAGGATTTTGTACAACAGGCAGCCAGCATCATCATAGGTACTGGAAAAATAGCCATGACCTTTGCAGACAAATTCCATCAAAGCCCTTTCTGGGCTTCGATTCCTCCTCTTCTTTCTCAAAGTTTATACAGGAGTATAGAAAAGCAGTTAGAGCCCTTCAATGCCCCATGGTCTCATTAGAAACCTAACCCCATGCTAGGTTAATCCAATAATAATTGCTATACAATCATGCAGCGACTAGAGCTCTGTTAATAATTCACAGCTAATTATTTATTAGGCACGTTTGCCTTTTTCTGACTTTGGCCGCATTGTGAAATCCTTGAGTGTGTTTGATTCAAAAGCATTTGCAAATACATTTAGCAACTCTTCCTTGGCCTACAGATATGTACAGTTGCACCACTTAGGCTTTGCACAATGCACTGTGCAGTGTAACGCGTGTAAAAAATGGAGCTGTAATGACACAGCCTTCAGCTCCCTGCAGGGGGTTGCAAAGAGGATGGAGCTGGACTGTTCTCAGTGGGGGCAGATGACAGAACAAGGAGCAATGGGCTCAAGCTGCAGCAAGGGAAGTTGAGGTTGGATATTAGGAAAAAAAAATCCCGCTAGGAGGTTAGTAAAGCACTGGAACAGGTTACCCAGAGAGGTGGTGGACTCCATCCTTGGAGGTTTTGAAGACCCGGGTGGACAAAGCCTTGGCTGGGATGATGTAGTTGGGGCCGGTCCTGCTTTGAGCAGGGAGGTGGGCTAGATGTGACCTCCTGAGGTCCCTTCAACCCTCATTTTCAATGATTCTATGAACAGAGACTCCTTCTTCTGTTCATAGACTTGAATTAAATGACCCTGGAAGTGACTTCCAACTCCATGACTCTAATCTGAAGTCAGTTTGCAGCCGTCCTTTGAACAAGTCACCATCTGGTGCAGACACCAGCCAGATCAGAACATCATGCACTTGACTAGTGCATATTGAGATGTTCGTGGAGTGGGGATCATGTGCATTCACCCATGCAACTGAACCAAAATTCATTGCACAGATCTGCGCAAGTATAAGCAGAGATGCTGCCACCTGCCCAGCTCATGCAGATGTCACCTTATAGCAACTTGTGGACGTGTCTGACGACATGAAGGCTGTTAGAAGCTCCTCAGTGGGGTGAAATGCCTAAAAGCGGGAGGAGAGGTTGTGAGCGGCAGAGGGGAGGTAATTATTTTAACTTTCTCTAGGGTTTGCTGCCTATCTCACAGACACCAGCTGTGAGCAAAGGAGCTAGGTCTTCACAGCTCCGTGGTAAGTGAGGATGCCAGGTCCTGAACAGTGCAGATATGCATGGGCATGTGCGTGTGAAGGACAGGCGCCTGGGCTTGACTGTTTCAGGGTGTGTGTGTGTAACAGGGGCGTGTGTTTGTGTGTTCCTGGCTGTCAGGGGATTTCTCTGGCACAGCCAGGTCTAACTGCAGGGTGTATCTGCGTATGCACAGTCCCTGATGGGGCACGGGTGATCCCAGGGCCCATCTGTTCCTTGTTTCATCTCTCAGTGCTCAGTGACATGACCCGGAGCCCTCAATCTGCACCAGTGGTTCTGTCTCTAGCCAGCAAGTGAAGCAAAGCTGTAAATACCTATCTGTGCCCTGTGCCTTATGCTCTCTGGAGAGGCAATCCATCTCTCTGACCAGCCAGCACAGAGAGAAACCTCTAGAGGAGGGCAGCCCCCTTAAAAACAGATGCCTCGAATACCCCTTCTGCCTCAGTGACCTCCAAACACTTTTAAAGCATCTAAATCCATAGTCAAGCCATGCACAGGAGGTGGTAAATTGTATCATCTCCATTCTGCAGAGAAATGGGCACAGCAAAGCTAAATTACTCAAACTTGTCCAATTCATTCTGGGTGAAGAGGATGATGTCACTGGGGCTGGTCCTGCTTGGAGCAGGGGCTTGGACTAGACATTGCCTCCTGAGGTCCCTTCCAACCCTATGACTACCTAGAGTCCTTTGGGTGCCTGGCTCCTGAGTACTGAGCCAGCCAGCCCTGCAAACCAGCTGAGAGCTGGAGAGATCTCCAGCGCTTTGGCTTTTGCATCACTTCCTTTTTCCTTTAAATACAACTGGACATAACCACTGTCCCTGTGAATGACATGAATGACACTGAAATGGCTTCCAACATAATCTGCCATTTTTTCCCCACCACTTCCCGCAGAACTCATTTATTTAGGACCGTGTGCAATGCAGGGACGAGCAGAGAGGCGGCACTAACACCACACAAGAACTGGAGCCATGCCGCAAAAATCATGCTAGAAAAGTGATACCCACTTGATAAATGAAAGTGGCTTTTCCTTTAGGATTATGCTGCAGTTTCTTTCCCTCTAACTGACATTTTTCTCTCTGGTTTCTCTATAACCCTAGAGACTTCTGCCTCCCTCGGGCATGTACTCCTGAGTCTTGCTGTTATCAGCAGAAATGCAATTTGGAAGTTTGCTTGCCCTTGGGAGAAGTTTTTTTTTTCCCTAAAGAAAATAGCAAAAAGTTTTCAGGAAGGAGGAAACTTTTTTTTTTTTTTTTTAGCAGTAAATGACCATCAGGCTGTTCAAGGAGGCATGTGCATGTCTTCTGCAGTCTTGGGAACACAGGCACTCAGGCTGTCCCATCTAGCTCTCCTCCACACATGCCAAGCTTGGAAATGGGGCTGTGAAACTGCTCTGAGGCCAGTCCCTGCCACCTCTCAAGATCTTTGTCTTCAGCATAGAAATCATAGAAATCATAGAAATTAAGGGCTGGAAGGGACCTCAAAAGATCATCGAGTCCAACCCCCTTGAAAGATCGAGTCTCAAGCTTGCTTGAGAGCAGTGGCTCAGAGTGAGACCTTGGCGTGCAACTTCTTCACAGTGGCTTCACCCCCTCAATTATAGGCTGGAGGATGCAGACTGGGAGTGGGTGATCAGGGCACACTCAAGAATGAAGCTCCTGTGTATCATGATGCCCTTTGTAAATCCATGCTGCATCCACGCCTTGAATCCTGTGCCCAGCTCCAGTCCCCACATCTCCAACAGGAGATAGAAGAACTAGAGAAGGTGCCAAGAAGGGCAACAAGGATGGTAAGCGGCATGGAAGGGCTTCCCTAGGAGGAGAGAGTAAAGAGGCCAGGCCTGGTCCGTTTAGAAAAGAGACACCTGAGGTGGGGCATGAGAAGGGTTTGCAAGATACCAAATGTGAAAAGAAAGTCAGTAGGGATTTATTATTGGCTATTTCTTACCAGACAAGAACTAGGAGTCACAGCATGAAACTAGTAGGTCATTAGTTTAAAACTAACATCAGGAAGTTCTTTATCACTGGGGATCCTGGTTTTTTCTGATTAAAAAAAATCCCCAATTTTCAGTTTAGAAAAAATAACCCCAAATCCACATTTTTCTATGATTAAAATGAAACACCACTCTGTCTGTCTGTCTGTCTGATAGAGCGATAGATAATCTGTCTATCTGTCTATCTAGATATAGATATACTGTGTATATATATAGTGGTGTTTCATCCGTGATTGAAATGAAACATCACTATATATCTAGATCTATAATATAGATAGATAGATAGTGGTGTTTCATTTTAATGATGGAAAAATGTAGATTTGGGGTTACTTTTTCTAAATCGAAAATTGGGGATTTCTTTAAAGCAGAGAAAACCAGGATCCCTGTTTATCACAGCAGGTTACTTAAGTTTGGAAGTTGTTACCAGCAGAAGTGGTGGAAGCTGATAGTTTAGCCAGATTCACAAAGGGATTAGACAAGGAAAGGGGCATTAGTAGCTGCTGAGCACGGGAATGAGGGGTATGGCCTCTGAATCAGGACTTCCTAGACTTTAAATGCTGGAGACTACAGGTGAGAGGGGAACAGGGTAAAAAATCCTGGTGAGACCCAGCTCACTTTCCCTTTCAGCATCTGCTCTCTGCTGCTGTTTGCCACAGGCCTATTTGATGTGCCACAAGACCATGGGTTTAGGCACATCACAAAATACTGGCAAAAGGATGTTGCGACACAGGAGACTGAGCAAGATGGACCTCTGGTCCAAAACAGTAAATGGCAGCGCTTGTGCTTGGAGGCTGCAGAAGCCTCCTCTCTGTTGGGGCCTGAGTATACTTGTTGCTCCCTATTCTTTATCCATACTGCTTATGATCTGTATTTTAGTAATACAGATACACGGGGTCTGTCTATGTGGTAAGTGGCACACACACACAGACCCTGATCTAAAAAGTATTCCGTCAGAAAAAAACACCTAAACCAGAGGGTGGGATGGGATTAGAGATGTGGAGTGCCTGGCCAATGACACCAAGCAAGTTCATGGAGGAACTGGGAGCAGAGATGTAGTCTCCAGAGTCCTTCTCTACTGCCAGATCCACTTGACAGGCAACCTTTTGGCAGCCTGCCGATGCTCTTACAGCACTCTCCTCAAGCAAGACGCACATGTTTGGGGCGAGCAGCTAAGTCTCCGATGTCTAGTAGGTGGAACTGGACCTGGGCCCTTTCAATTTTCAATCAACGTTTATTTTATTTAGTTTATTTAGATAAATATTTAGTTTATCCCCATTATCTCTTGTGTCACCATGGCCCTTTAACTTAAATAACTCTTCTCCCTCCCTGATGTTCCCTCCCTCCATTCCCATGGTGTATTTATAGAGGGCAGTTGCCTGCCTTGCTCTTCATTTCTGTAGGCTACACAATGACACATGGTCTCCCCACGTAAGACAGGGTCGCCATTCCCTTGATCTGCTGTTGTGGTTCAGTAGTAGCATCTGTGTCTGCCCTGTGGGAGGCCTGGATTTGATTCCTGGATGTGCACATAACTGCAGCTATCGAGGCACCGAATGCCTGGATGCTTCTGGATTTTGTCTCCATGGTCTGAAGAGGGGATGGGAGGTCTGGGAAGCCTTCACTCCTCCACATGCCTGCCTAGGCGCATGCATTGAAGGTGTTGGTGATCTCTCACATACACATACACTACGGTCCAGAAGGATTGATGGTTGCCCACTACTATGATC